AAGAAGTTGAGAGTGGTGATCACATCTTTAGTCTTTATTTGTTATATTTGATATTTTTACCCTAAGAATGGATTTAATAAATTACTTACAGAATTGAAAATATTTACCTGTCCAGAGAACAGAGGAAATATATGAAAATATAAACAGCAATTATTTGTATGGGCTTATGATTGATACTTTTTGTTTTATTATCTGAATCTCCTAAAATTCTGTAATAAACATTCATTGCTTATATAATCACAAAAATTAAAAAGACATTTAAAAAAATTAACAAAATGGCAAAAGGACATTTCTTATGAGTCTTATTAATTACCTCAATAAAAATTAATTCAGATTATTTTTAAACAATGACAGGAGTGTTTGTTCAGATAAGTATCTACTTCCAAGTCCTGTGAAATAGTAGCACTATTTCATTTGTTAAAAATTCAGACTTCTTTATTTTATTACAGAATTTTACTTACAATTTTTTTTTAGTTGCAACTCATGTTAATTAGACTCTAACAAATCCGTAAGTACAGTTTTGGTGCATAATTTTAGCTACTCGTTTAAGATACCAAGTTTCAAATCAGTGTAAATTGCCTTCATATGTTTGTTGTTATATCTCTCCTTTAAAGTGAAAAAGCCCATATTTTAGAAACCTTGAATATGATACATGACTAGTAAATATTGTCTGACCAATCAATTAGTTAAGTTCTAACAGGTTTTAGTAAATCCTGGTATTCGTGTCTTTGCTCAGATATCACCTTAACAGAGAAATGCCTTCCCTGCCCCACCTACCTAAAACAGGACCACCACTAATAATTTCTATCATTCTTTATTCCTTCACTTTATTGTAAATTTATTTGAACTTATTAGCATTACCACCTTGCATTTGTTTGTCTCTCTCCCACCACTAGAATATGAGCTTGAGAAGTAGCGATGCTCTTTGTGGTTCACTGATATCTAAAAGTACCTAGCACATTAGGTGCACAATAAATATTTTTAAATGAAATGGGTGTTGAAGAATGAAATATTCAGGTTAATGAGCAGTTAGCCCTATATAAAATATCAGTTTTGAAGAAGAAATTATATATATGTACTTTTGTAAAAAGTATTGTGTCTTGTACCTTATACTTATTATGCTTTAATTATGTAGTTGGTAGAATACTAGTTAATATAATATTAGATGTAGATCTATATAGATAGATATATATACAGGTAGATATACTATTAAGGAAAAAAAAACTTTAGAAATACTTGAAAAGTCAGTGGTTTAGTATTTTAACCTAAGATGATTAGCTTTCCTTGGCCACAGAAACAGAAAATCCAGACGAACAGTTTTTTTCCTGTTCTTAATTAGAATAAGCAAATCTTAGGATTTGGTTAACTATCATTCAGTGCCTCACTCAGAGCCATTTTGAATATGTGGTACAGGCCTAGAAATATAACCAAGATTCTTTGTAAAAAGGGTGAAAATGAGCTGTATCCTCTTGAAATTGAAATAACAGGTACAAAGTAATTAATATGTGGATGTTATTAGCTCAACCAAAATGAATAACTTAAAGGACTTGAGTATCAGACTCTGTGAGGCCTTATTAATAGAATAAGGTGAAAGAGGAGTCTGAAACACCCCAGTGAAGTGGATTGGAATCCCACCTATGTAAATGAAACTGATTCTCAGTCGATTAGAGACTAGCGCTGATTCTCAGCCTCTGTCCTTGCCGACTCCAATTTCCCACAGTGAAATCCACCATCTCCCCAAGATTTCCCACCTGGAGACTCAGACCCATCTCTGTTTCAAAGTTTATCATCGGCCTATGCCCCCTTTTCTTTGAAATTTGGAATTAAGTTACTCTCCTCACATGAAGGATTTAGTGGTGCAACCATGACTACCTGCTTCCATGTATTTTTCTAAACTACAGTATTTTCTCTGTATTGACCCAGAGTACCTTTTAACATGTCTTCTCCTTATACATCCGGCCCCAAAATCTGTTGCAGTGACTATTCCTTAAGAGCAAGCATTTCATTGTAGGACTTGAGATTACTATTTTTACAGTAGCATACAATATATGGATGAATCTTATGAAAACTAGAAGAACCCAGTTACAAAGGTAACATACAGAATAATCTAGCCAAATGGGAAATTTGGGATGAGATGCTTGTAAGGATAACTGGAGATTCTGATTACACTTTATAGGAAATTTGACCTCTTACTATGGTGAATAAGGTTATCAAACATAAAGTTGTTAATATACAAATAATATTGAGTTAGTTTAAACAAGATGTTCACATAAAGAGGATAAAATGAGATAAGTCAACACAGTAAACTGCATTTGGTTATATTAGCAAAACAAATAAGAGGGAGTTACCCTAAATCTCAAGTTATGCTCCGGATGTCTACTCCTGCTGGAACTACTTTTGCAGCTCTAATGTTTCTTCAGGATTTTCACAGTTTAATTTAACAAATTAAAATCATAATTATTACAAAGGCAAAATTACTTGAGGAAGATTCTTCCATGGCATATACAACATGGGAACTTGTTAATCCTTCAGAATTATCATTTGATATATGGATTATCATTCATTTTGTCAGCTTACTAAGCTTAGTATTCTCAAAGTCCATTTGGTCTATGGAATTAACATTAATTAGGTTTGTCAGTTTATTAAACTTAGTATTCTCACATCTGTAGAAGTTTACCGTTGTTCTTTAACTTTTCAGTATAAGGAAAGAATAATTGTGCTAAAAGTGACTTTCAAGTGCCATATAATGAATAAAAAGAGCAGGTGGACTCTAAAAGCTAAGTTTTTAATTTCTTATTTGGAGTTTGCATTGATCTCAGAATTACCCACAATGTCCTGAATCCATAAGAGGGCAAACTTTGTAGTTAAATCTTTTCAAAACAATTTATTTTAAAAATCAATATCACATTTTAAGTGATTCATCCAGAATTTATTTTAGTGATATGGTCTAGTGTGTTGTGTAGTGTAGCATACAAAGTAGGTATTGATTTCACACATTTTATACATTTATGTTTCTAAAACACTCCTTGAGCACAGGGACATTTTCATGTCAGCAAAATGTTGAATTGATACATTTTTGAGTAAAATAATTTTTTACTACTTCACACCCATGGAGATGGCTGTGATCAAAAAGGGAAAGTGAGTTTTCAGTTTGGGCCTCTGGAGAGATGGCTACAGTGCAGGGGCCTCAGGTGAATGTGGACGGCATCAAGCCAGAACTGAGCAAAAATGAGCTAAAGAGATACCCAAAAGCTGAGAGGAAAGTAGTGCAGAAGGAGGAGAAGTAGTGGTAGGAGAGCTTAAAAAAGGGACAATGGCCTCTGCTCACCTTGATTCCAGACACTTCCATTTCTCCCTGTATTCCCCTGGTGCCTTTCAACTGCTACCCCCGATGCTGGAGCTCAGAGAGTGAGTCTGGGTAGGTGAGTCCATGTGTGGGCTCTTTAAGAGGAACTGCTTGGGGCTCTAGAAGTTTCTTCCACCAACTCAATCCCCACTAGTTTTTGCAGCCAGAAGTTGTGGGGACTTATCTTCCTGGCACTGGAACCCTGGGATGGGGATCCTGGTGTGGGGCTGGGACTCCTCACTTCTGTGATATCCATCCCAAACTTTTATCCACCACATGTTGGTGAGGCACCAGCCCGTTCCGTGTCTGTGCCTCTCCTACCAGTCTGGGTGGATGTAGTTGCTTTAATTCCATAGTTGTCAAACTTCTATTCAACTTGATTTCCGATGGTTCTGAATGATGGTTGTTCTATATTTTAGTTGTAATTTTGATTTGGTGTGTAAAGAGGTGAGCTATGTCTGCCTACACTGCCATCGTGCCTGGAAGTCCTATACTAGCAACTTCTATCTGTTAAAGAAATACTCAATGTTTCTGAGCCTCAAGTTTCTCATCTGCAAAACCTAGTAGGGTTTTTGCAAGGATTTAGTGAGATGCTGTGAATTAAATAGACTATGCCCTCTGCTTCACTACCCTATACAAACTCTGGCTGCTTTTTCCTAGAACGCTTCCCACCCATCCATCCTCCTGCCTTACACATCCCTGTATATTCCCACTGAACCCACTAATTACCCTAATGAAGCACTTAACACAATCTGTTGAATTTTCGTGTTTATTTTCCTGTCTTCCCCAGCAACCTAAATTCTTTAAAGGGGAAAACTTATTTTGTCTACCATTGTATGCATATTTACCTGGCATATTGACTAACTCAATAAACATTTGAATAAATGAATTTTAATAACATATTTAGCATTCTATTAGGTGCAGAATGGCTCCCTAAAAGGGTGTAATGAGTTTGTGTTTTGCTTCCTGTTAGAACATAATCAACCTGAAGCATTTTTAAATTTACAATATGTGGTGATTTATATGTTAAGTGGTAATACTTTTATTACTAGTTATACCTATGAAATGAAGAGAATTTTCCTTATCTTTGTTGTAATAGACTTTGTAGCTATATATTTATCTTTGTAATTTGTATGTTATGTTTTCCTGTAATATCAAAGTATATATATGTTTACTGACTTAGAAATTTATTTTACAAGTATCTCAAGAATTTGCAGTTTAATGTGCATGTTTCATGCCATTCTTCTCCATCTGAGATTAGACTTAGAATGAAATAGCCAGCTAGGAAGCAATGCTGTAGATTTAAGGCCTGTGAAATATATAAAAATTAAGTCATTTTAAGCAATATAACTGAAATTTCCTCTTACTATTTTTTATTTTAAATGTCTTACAAAATAATAATAGGCAATAATTACTCCTGGATGGAAGGAATGGAAATAAGGGAGCATTAGAAGAAGTTTAATTGATACGTTTTGTTCTCTGGATTTAGCATATTTCCATACATATGCCTATCTAAATAATTTACAAAAGCTTTGCTGAATAAATATGTTATTAAGTACATGATAAAATGTGGGTATGGAAAAATAGTAATGTTTATGTTCATATAAATCATCAAGATTTCTTTAAAGTCTCATAACCATTCTGCTTCTTCCAGGTACAGAGAACTACAACTTAGTACAGAAAGCAAAGTAACTGAATTTCTCCATCAAAGTAAATTAAAATCTTTTGAAAGTGAGCGCATGCAACTTATCCAAGAGGAAACTGCGAGAAATCTCTCACAGTGTCAATTGGAATGTGAAAAATATCAGAAAAAACTGGAGGTACATATACAAACTTTTCTTTCAAAATTAGCATAGCATATGAGGTCCATGAGTGCAAGGCCTATATCATATTGAGCTTTGTCAATGATATTTGTGTTGTGAATGAGAAAAGACCTGTATCTTTCTTTTTATTTTATAATTTTTTAATTGTTATTCAGTTACAGATGTCCTGCCTTTTTCCCCTTTGCTGTCCCCTGACCCCTTCCTGCTCACTCCCAAAGTCAGTCCCCCGTCACTGTCCCTGCCCAGGAGAATCTTTCTTTTTAAAAGTTCTCTTATCAAGAGGACCTACCTTCCTGTTCTAGATAAATAGGTAAAAAGAAGGAATGCAATGTTTCCAAGAAAAGAAATGCAGATTGCTAAGAAATAAATGAAAATGTGTTCTTCCTAATAATTAAAGAAATGTGAATTTAAACTTTTTTTTTTTTTTTTTTTTTACCTTATGGGAAATCTCATGCAGTTAGAAAATGGAATACCCCTTCTGGTGAACAGTATGATAATATCGCTAATGCCCTTAAAAAAATTGATCCAGTAATTTTAGTTAAAGAAATTTTACCTAAAGAAATAAGAGATATTAATGGTACATTACAGCATTATTTATTACAGTAAAAATTGGAAGTGACTTAAGTGTCTAACAATAGATAATTAAAAGATTTTCAATTAGTGTAAGTTATATTTTGCTGTAATCATGCATTGTATGATTACATGCAATCATGTTCTCGACTATTTTAGACTTGGGGGAAATGGTCATTAGAAACATTTAATGAAAGATTTAGTAATTTTATTAGCATTATTAGCTAACAATGTAACTATTCATTACAATATCTCAGATTACATTTCTAAAAAGTACTTTGCTAAGTAAAACTAAGATTAACAACATAAAGGGTCTCTCCGAAAATAAAGCCTTAGGGAAAACATAAAAATGACATTAAATACATAGATATTTAAGAAAACATAAGTAAAAGCTGCGGATGGTGTCCACTGCTGGAGCAAACCAGTGTTCCTCATTTAATACTTTTTCAGATACCTTTTTCAGAAAACCACTGCAGGTACAATTTGCTACAGCAAATTCTTCTGTGCATATTCAGTGAGACTGTATTAGACTAGCTGATTTGGAATTTGTCTTTTGCAAGTTAATGTTTTCCTTGGTTTAAATTTCGTAATTCCTAGCAAAATGACTTTCCTTTCCCTTTTCATGTTGGATGACTGTGCTTAAGGATGTGTCTTGGAGCAGGGTGGTGGAGGTGTATAGGGAAATAATACAGAGACACTTCTTTCTCTCTACACTTCTGAAACAAACACTTCACTAAACAACACTTTACAACACACCGTGATGATGTTTTCTAAACCATTCGATTTTGTTATTTTTAGCTGTTGCAATCCCAATAGATTTCACGATCCCATAAAGGTTGCAACTTGCAGTATGAAAACCACTCTCCTATAGACCTACCCACTTGGTCTGTGGGTGCAGGTAAATAGTAATCAATGTATTTCTTTCTATAAATGTCTTTTGTGGAAAAGCACCTTTGTAAAAATTACTGTGATCTTTAAAACTCTAGTTGGTTAAAAAAAAAACAAACAACTGAGGCTTTAGGGGAATTTCTGTACATTCTCTCCTCTGTTAAACTAGGATCCTTGAGAGAACTAAAACTATTCATTTATCATTACATCACAAGTGCCTAACAGTGCTTTGCTCATGGTAGATGCTCAATAAATATTTTATGAGTGAATGAATGGTTTGATGAATGCTAATATAGAACCATTGTTTGAATCTATTTTCCTGAAATACTAGAAAGTGTTTCTAAGACAACTCTTATTTAGAACAAATAATTTACAGAAAAATAATTTTGTGAAGGGTAAGTATTATTACAGTTATTATGTACTCTTCTGGGGTTTTACCAAATAATCTCATGTTTTTATAACTTATGGGCAATTTATTTTGTCTTAATTATCACTTGACAAAGGCTCTCAAAACACTGGCTTTTTATATTTTGTCACTTTTAAAAAATTCTTGGCCTATAACTTCGTATTGCATATATATATAGTTTGATGTAGTTTTGCATTACCATAAAGTTACTTAAAAGAAGGGAACTATCCACTGAGACCTTGATATTGAATGGATTCCTAAAAGAAATTGACCTACTTTATATATTCATGTTTAAATTCAAATGTTTATACATTGGTTTTTCCTGAAGCATCTTTAATATAATAATGGTCCATAGGTCTAGTAATAAAGTTCTTCTTGTGCTTTTCAGAAGCAGTAGTGACTTTGTTTAGAGCAGTCACTCAAACAAATCCATACTGAAAGGGAATTCTCTATCATGGGGTACAGAGGTATTTGGAAGATATACACAAGCAGAAGTTTCTGGGCATTTCTCCTCTATGTTATGAAGAGAGAATTTTAAATTATATCTCTCAATTTAATGCTATTTCTAAAATTTCATATTAAAATAATACCTGATAAAATATCTCATTTTCAACTTTTTGATTCTTTAGATACCTATTTCTGCAGTTTTTCTTTGTTGTGTTTTTTTTTGTTGGCGGAGTACTGGGATGCAGATGAAAGATACCAGCTCTTCTGTGAGAACAGTCATTTAACACTGTCTTTACTGATTCCTCTCTTTTGACAGTGGAATTAATAAGTGCCATCAACAACCAGATTTTTAATGAACTACAACCCAATATAATGAACTCTGTAAATGCCCCAGATTGTTTCACTGTGTAGTGATTTCTTTAAAAAGAATACTAAGTATCTACAAAACACATTCCCAGTCAGCAAGAAGACATAATGCTTAAACTTGAATTTCCTTTTTCTTATCCAATCAAGGACATAAGAAATTGTCCAAAAATATTCCCATGTTATTTTTTCTCCCTCCAAAGGAATATATTTGGAGGATGGAGTATAATGTTTAGTTAATTATGAGGGGAAGTTTTAATGGAGATAATTGAAGAAAGTGAGATGGAATATATTAAAGAAATTAAATTGTAATCTATGCTTGTTAAATACTGTAAATAAATCTCCTGCATATTCTTTTTCCACCGCACAGAATGTGCTCAATCACATACATTTGTTACGGTGAACTTCATGCCTATTAGAGAAAGTGTTGTCTACAAAATTATTTAATTGTAGAGAATTGAAGTTAATTTAAATTCATACATCTCTATTGCTATAAACCATTTAATCCAAGTTTTTTGTTTTGTTTTGTTTTTAACCTCACCTGGGGACATGCTTATTTGAGAGAGGGGAAGGGAGGGAGAAAGGGAGAGAAACATCGGTATATGAGAGGAACATCAATCAGTTGTCTTTCATAGGCGCCCTGACCAGGACCAAACACACATGTGAGGCATGTGCTCTGTCTGGGAATCCAACCTGTGGCCTTTCAGTTTGCAGGACGATGCCCAACCACCTGAGCCACACCAGCCAGGACACAAGTTTTTATAATTGCATTTCTTACAGTAGTAGTAGTAGTAGTAGTAGTAGTAGTAGTAGTAGTAGTAGTAGTAGTAGTAGTTGTAGTAGTAGGAGTAGTTTTCAACATTTACAATGCTCTGTGCACTCTGCTAAACTGTGAATTTACCATTTCATTTAATCCTCCAACAATATTTTGCGGTAGTCCTGGAAAGAATAAGTAATTGCCTAAGATCACAACTAGTAAGTACCAAAGGAAGGGTTGAAATCCAAACCTTCTGGATCAAAACCATATTTTTAACCATACTGTTCTGTTGCTTCTCAGTACTGTGTTAGGGAGCAAGTGTACTACCACTCCTTAATTTAATCTGTACTAATAAATACACTTTTTAGATAATTGGAATTTAAGCATTAAAACATCCCTTTGTCACTACAAATGTCTCCTTTTTTAGTGAATTTATAATTGTCATGATAATGATTCCTTCAATGAGTTACCATTCAAGAATAAAGGACTTTTTGTTCTTACACAATACTCCATTTCCCTGCCTTTTGGTATCACTTTTTCTAATTTTTTATCCTTTCTTTTTATACAAAGGCATTTTCTGATACAGCCCCAGGTAGCCCTTCACATTTACATTTGGATTTGCTGCTTGGAAGTTATGATTGTTCAAGAAACCAAAAATCTTACTAGAAATATGGCAAAGGTAGATAAAATAAGCTCTGGCGGGAAACTGAAAGGCTTGTTATGAGTATATCTCTTTGCACACAGCTTCCTAAGTGAAGCTGTTTCTCAAAACGGCTGTGATCTATAGATAAATGGCCACCAAATAAGCACGGTGTTACTGCATTTTTGAATTCTAACAAGCAGATGCTAGTCTGACTCTTATAACTGTTTGAGTTTTAATTTGTTTTTTATTAAATTATGTAATAAGGTGCTTTGTAATTTTCAGTTAAAAACAACTGAATTGTTTTCTGTAGAAATAATTGTATTTTACTTTCTCAGTCATTTCAATTGAACTATTTTCTCTTCATATATAAATTATTAAAAAGAGAAAAATGTATTCTTGTATTATGTTTTTGTCTTAACTGTTAACTTACTTAATTTTGCCTTTGCAATTTTTTTCTCTCACTATCAGGTTTTAACTAAAGAATTTTATAGTCTCCAAGCCTCTTCTGAAAAACGCATTACTGAACTCCAGGCACAGAACTCTGAGCATCAGGCAAGACTAGACATTTATGAGAAATTGGAAAAAGAGCTTGATGAAATAATAATCCAAACTGCAGAAAGTAAGCCTGCCTCCCAAACACACCCCCAAACACACACAGCTTTTTCTTTTCTTTTTTAATTTATTGTTATTCTTTTAATTAGAAGCACCAAGAAACCTGGTATTTTTTCTAAAACTGCTTTGGTATATTTCTTTCAAGTATAATTGGTGACCTTTTTTTAAAGAATATTTTATTTTATTTTTTAAAGATTCTTACTTTAATTTTTTTAAATTTATAAATCATGTTTATTCTATTACAGTTGTCTCAATTTTTTACCCTTTTACCCCTCTCCACCTATCCCACCCCCACCCCCCACTCCCACAGTCAATTCCCATTCTGTCGTCCATGTCCATGGGTCATTCATACATGTTCCTTGTCTAGTTCCTTCCCCTTCTTTCCACCATTGTCCTCCTTCCCCATTCCCTCTGTCCACTTTTAGTCTGCTCCATGTTTCCATGCCTGTGGTTTATTTCGTTCATTAGTTTATTTTGTTGAATAGAGTCCACTTAAAGGTGAGATCATACGGTATTTGTCTTTTGTCAACTGCCTTATTTCACTTAGCTTAATATTCTCCAGTTCCATCCATGTTGTCACAAAAGATAGGAGTTCCATATCTCTCTCTCTCTCTTTCTTTCTTTCTTAAATGCAGATTGATTTTATTTATTTTTTAAATGTCAGAGTTAATTATAAAATATTTAAAAAATTTAAAACCATTATAAAGTCTCAGCAATTAAACCAACATGACATAAGCACAGAAATAATCAAGTAGATCAATGAAATATAATGAGCATTCTAGAGACAAACATATATATTTGTCTAACAATATATGATTAAGTTGATATTTCAAGTCAATGGGTAAAATAAGGCTTATTCAACAAATATTATTCATTATTACTTGAAATAAAACAGGTATTGAGCCCTATTTCACACATTATACAAGAAATATTCAGGTGAGTTAAAAATCAATATGTAGAACCTAAGGAGTTTTAGAAGAAAATAAAACTAATATATTCCATGACCTGAAGTAAAATATTCAAACCCAGAAGCTATAAAGTAAATATTGAAATATGACTATATTAAACATTTAACTATAGTAATATACATATAAAAAAAGTTAAAAGACAAGGAATAAAATAGAGAAGTATTTGCAACACATCTAAAATATGATTAATAGGTATTTTTTTGGCGGGGAGGGGAGTTCTACAAACTTTACTCAATAAATGGGTAAAGAATACCAAAAAGTTATTTAAAGATTTTTTTTAAATAATAGAAATAGGCAAGAAATATACTAAAACAGGTTTAGTTTCAACAAATAGTAAAGGAACAATTAAAATAACATCATTGTCACAATCAGACTAATGAGTATTAAAAATATTGGTAATATCAAGTATTGGCTAAAGAATATTTTATATTTTAAAACTTAGTTTTGGTTCTAGTAGTTGAGATTTTTAAAAAATTGGTTCACTGTGGTCAATTTTATCTTTTATTCAGTTCACTCATTCAGTGTTAATTGTTTACATGTGTCTGGATCTGAAGATATTTCATAAATAATGCTTGCTTATAGGAGTTTCTTGTTTACTGGGAGAGACAAACATGTTAACAAATAATTAAGTGAGCTAAGTGCTATTAGCAAGAGATAGGCAGTCCTTGGTGAAAGTACAGAAAAGAGACCCTCAGTAAATTCAGCCTTTGTGGTGAGGAGTACCTAAGAGAAAAGATAGCATTTGAATGAGTCCTGAACAACAGATAGACATTCTTTGAATATACGATGTTATAATCTTTGACCCCGATTCGTACTTTTATTTTCTGTGTTGCCCCTGACTCTAAGGGAATATTTTAAATGAACATTTCACTATTGACTGCAGTGTTTGCTACAGTACATTATTTGTGTTTAAAGGTGAGAAATAATAGTGGCTTTCTTATAAAAGTGCATTTTAACATCATTTGGAGTTGACATTAAATTTGAATCTATTTGGGGAACATTTTATTGTAAAGAATATATTAATAGGCTTAAGAAAAACTGTTATTTCATTTGTATCATTGTCTTTTTTCCATTTTCAATGTCTGTTCATTGCAATAGTTTTCAAATGTATCTTCATTTCTTCACTGGAGTCCAAGCAACCTTTGTAAAATACGGGTTTGATCATACCATGCACTGGCTTGAATGCCCCTGTCATCTTAAAAGTCAAATTCCATAGCTTGACTTTTTTATGATTAGACTCATTTATCTTTCAACTTTTTATGCCTTACCATTTCATAGCATATCATATTATTTTGAAAGTTTTATACTCTGTCTTAGCTCTATAACTTTGCATATGCCCTTCTGTTGAAAAAAAATTAATAGAAAAAACTTTCTCAATCCAATAAAGAATATCTACAAAAAAAAATCTATTGCTATAATATCATACCTAATGATGAAATATTAAGTGCTTTCCCTTTAAAGAAGAGATCAGGGCAAGGATTTATATTTTTATAACTTCTATTACACATTGTAATTGAACTTCTAGCAGTAATATAAGACAAGAAAGAAAAAAGTATAAAGATCACAAAGAGAAGAATTATTTTCTAATTACAAAACAATCACAATACAGTGGTAAGTAAAATTAACAGGTATACTTAAGATTTATACCTTCTACTATATGTAAGTGGTATTTTTTACAAAAGAACTCCAAAGAAATATTAAACTGTAGTTGACGATTTACATGTTAAACTAGACGTTTGCATCATATTTTGAATTACACACAAAAAATAAAATAGATTTATAGGTTGTTAGGAGGATGGAAAGATGTGTGATAAATAAATATAGTATAATGTTTAATTTATAATCCAGATATTATATATATGGGTGTACACTGTTCACCTTTTTCAGCTTTTCTGTATGTGTAAATATTTTTAAATAAAATTTTTGGAAGAAATATAGAAATTACTTTTTGTTATGATATTGTATAAGCCATTTAAAACCATCTTAGAATAAAACATATTTACTTGTACTTGAAAGATCAAGAAGCTAAGCTCTTCTCTATCCATTCACATTGGAAATTATAATATTTTTATTAATGTATAATGAATACATATTGATTAACCAAAATTTCAAAGATGTAAGCACAAAACATTGCTTAAGTACTACAATGTGTACAATACTCAAGGGATTACCATCCAATTCAGCTAACTTAGCCAACACAAGGATGGTTAGACTTCATATATTGAAGTGTAACCATGGCAAATTACAGTATCCTGTTGACACTTGAATTGCTTTTTATAATCAAGTAAATGTTATTTGGATATTTGAGGAGTTTAGTTTTCCACATCTCATTAAATTGTTAAAAGTACAAATATTGCCTAAAAGCTAAATAAATTCAAATATAAAATGAAAATCGGATTTCTGGTTGTCAAATTCAGGGACTCTCTCTTCATCCTACTTGAATCCTCTGCTAGGCATTTGTCATAGTTCTCAAACCCCCTCTGTTGCTTCTTGAATCACCTGCCTCTGATTTGTTTTTTCTCCATCACTTTTGTTGTCTCTTCTATCTAACTCTAATAGTTCCCAGGGATTTTTTTTTTTCCCTCTCATTCTCTTCTGTTCTGGATAGTCTTACCTCTTTCCACAATTTCCATAGATCTGTATAGAATTCCTGCAGTTCTTAAATATCTAACATTATTTATATTTTCTCTTCCCTCCCTGAAACTTACTCTCTTGTGTTAGTCTGTTAATACAGTTAAAGTGTGTCTGATTACCCAACTAGCTTTTGTCAGTCTTGATTCCTCCCTTATTCTATCTAGTGGCTCATCTCACCTTTACATGTGTTTAGTTGTATAGAATCCAGGTTCTTTTTTCCCATCCTTCATTGCTACTATGGACCATCCATCAACTGGTTACTAGTGTAACCTATGAGGAGTCTTTGTGGTGCCAACCTAGGCCATTTTCTTCCCCGTTATGGGAAATTTTTTTCTACAATATCAGCATCAACAACAAAAATCTGTAGATCACGTCACCTACCTGTATTAATTTCTTATTGACTATAAAATAAATTTCATTCTCCTTAGCCTAGCAAACAAGTCCCATTCACAGTTAGAAGTAAACCTACTTTTGTACTCCCGACTAACTCCAGCCATTTTTCTTACTATTACTAAAACTTCACACTGCTGTGACTTTACACGTGTAATTCCCTCCTGCACCTTCTCTATGAATGTCAACCTTTCCACGCCTTCCTAATTCTTAAGCATGAGAAAAATAGTGGCACTGAGATATAGTTGCTCTGTGCTTCTAAGGCGTATTCATATCTTTTGATGGCCATTTACCATGTTGTATAATACAGTTTCTGTAATTAAATCACCACAAGAATAGCTATCTCATGAGTAATTAATCCAATAACTATTACACTCAAATTTAAGATGCCCATCAATATTTGATGTTTTTTTAAGATAGGTGATTTTTAAGATAGGTGTTTAGTTAACATTTTAAGATGTTAAAACTAAATTTACCCTTCTGGCTTCTGGATTTAGAACTATTTAAGAGAGACAAGAGTCTGATAGGTATATAACACCAGCTCTAATTCTGATAGAGCTGAATGGGAGAACTCTATTTGGATCTGAAGCCATGATCGCTAATAACACTATTGCCAATAGCATATTATCACCTCTTGTTTCCCTGTGTTCCTCACAACTAACAATTCTACCTCTGAAAACTAATCTTGGTTCATCTTGAAAAACAGGGACAAAATTGAAGGACAACACTTAGAAATATTCCTAAAATTTTTCTCTACTATAGAGGGATAACTCAACAAGTAAGTGCCTATTATAGTGACAGACCTGCATGTAAGTTAGCTTCACTTACTAATAGAAAATATGTGGCTTTGTTATAAATCTGAAAAACTTCTAAAAGTAAGTTTCTCTTTTCGCATTAAAATAATGTTGATGATTAAAACTATAGAATTGTTTTATGCCATTGACCACTTTTATTTGCACTAGTAAATTTTTTATGGCCTTTGATTAAATTTTTAATCCCAACTTACAGTAAAATTATCATTTCATTTAAACTTTTTAACTATAAAATGTTAACCTGTTAGTTAAAATTCCTTTTGTGAAGTGCTATTTTCGACAATAGCACATTTTAGAAGAAAATGGTTTTGCTGAAACTGTCTTGTAATTAAAAAAAAAAAGGCCATCAATACATTCTTAGATTCTTAGTACTGCACGTCTTCTTTGCAGAGGATCCCATTTAAGTGCTTACTTTTTATTACCAATTAAGATAAAGCTGTTCTTCTGATAAAATAATGAACATCTTTTCACATTAAAAACTGATTTTGATAAAGTCATTTCTTTATCAAAAAGAAAATAATAAGATGTTATTACTTTTCCATAATTACATATTTTCATGCAGAAAGACTTTGAGTCATTTAGAATAATACATTTGTATTATTATGATTTATAACAAGAAAGCCTAATGTGTCATATGATGCAATCCTTTATACCTTTTAAAAAGTAAATGGAACAGATACAAACAAGCATATACCCTAAGAAATATACTCCTACTTACAAATGGCCTGTTTAAGATTATGCATTTTTAATGTTCTCATACTGCCTCATTCATGACTATGACCTCTTTTATTTTTCACTTCTCCTGTGCTTTTTAAGAAAAAAGTTATTTTACATCATACACTTTTAATATTTTCCAGTTGAAAATGAAGATGAAGCTGAAAGGGTTCTTTTTTCCTATGGTTATGGTGCTAATGTTCCCACAACAGCCAAAAGACGACTAAAACAAAGGTAAAATCGATCTGTATTAGCTTTACTTATCAATCAAGCTAAATATAATGACATTATCCTTTTTGATAGTGTGTTGAGTTGCATAACAAAATAGTTACTTTATTCTCAGTATGCATAAATATCAAATTGCTCACAAAATTAAACATAGTAAGTAATAATCGTGCATTTTATGTATTTATAAGTCAAGTTAATGGTCCATAGAATAGAAGCATACGTTAGAATTTTTCCAGAATCAGATTCAGTGATAATGACACCATTTTATTTTCACATTAATTTCAGTTGGGTTACAAATCAAATGCTTTTGTACCAATAATCTTCAGGTTTAAGTTCATTAATTATGCTTCATTATTTTTTCCTCTTGTTTTTATTCACCTGCCTGCAATCCTTGACATATACCTGAACAAGCAAAAGAGAGAGGTCAGGAGATAGAGTACAAATATTGTAAATTGAAATTGTAAAAGACTTTTTGAAGACCAAGAAAAAAGTTTTTAGTATTTGTTGATTTTAGAGAAAGCAAGAAATATTAAATTGTTGTTCTACTTATTTACACATTCATTGGTTGATTCTTGCGTGTGCCCTAACCAGAGATCAAACCCATAACCTTGGTGTGTCAAGATGACACTCACCAGACAGGGCCAGATCAAGATAATTTTGAAAGATCCATTAGTTATCTCGTGAGATATTGTTTAAAAGTATACTGAGAGAAAATTGCACCTCTATTAATCAGTTTTCTAGTTGACCTAACTCCTTTAGCTGACCTAAATTCATCCTGCTTTACAAAAACATCTCACTGCCTTATTCACTATCATTTCAAGTCAAAGATTTCTTACAGATTTCTAAGTCCTTCCGTGTGGCCCTACCTCCCTAGCCTTACTTGCTTCTTTACACAGATTGCGAGTAGTGTATATCTCTGCCTATAAACATGATTTTTTTATACTGTACAATAGAGCATTTCTCTTATCTCATTAGCTCTCATTTCCCATAATATTTTTTCAGCTAGATTCAAAGTTCCTCAAAGTCAGCAACTACATCTTATTCTTGTTTATTCCCCACTGTCTCTACCTTGTAGATACCTGGTAGAATTGTCTCTTGATGTGAATTTTAGAGGACTCATACCTGCTTGTTTATCTTTTATTTTAACATGAATTGATTTAAATCTTTAGAGACATTACACACTAACAAAAACAATCCATCCTAACACCAATACTTTTGTAGAAATGTTGAAGCGATGACTTAGAGAATAAAATGTCTCCATGGCTATCTAAAGTGATATAAGATGTAGACCATTTTATGAGAAGTAAAAGGATGCTTAGGATTTGTTGCTTGCTGATTAAACGAAATATCTGGAAAATTTTAGATTAGTATAGATTAGTAGCAACTACCAACTTGTAGCTGGAATGGTTAATTCTGTCTAGTAAAGATACAAGAATTTCTAGATTATATAGTTGAAAAATCGGTTATAGTCCCATCCCTTTCCCATTCTTCCTCAAGTCCCTCCAAAGATCACTAAAGGTGACCTAGGATACTTTGTAATTTTCAGCATATCTCTGTTTTTGAGCATTATGCTGCCTAGGGAAGAATAAAAACATAGCCTTATGGACAAGTGACTTCTTTATCAGTGGTAAATGATGGCTAAAATACTGAATATTGAAATTTGAAGGAACAAATCCATTCTCTTCTCTATTTTATTTATTGATTTTCAAGAGAGAGAAAGAGAGAGAGAGAGAGAGACATCAATTTGTTGTTCCACTTACTTATGCATTCCTTGGTTGCTTCTTGTATGTGCCCTGACCAGGAATGGAACCCCCAACCTTGGAGTATTGGGATGGCACTCTAACCAACTGAGCTCCCCAGGCAGGACCTCTCTTCTCAGTTTTAGCATCTAAATCCTTCAAAAGAATCTTGTCACAGAAAAAAAAAAAAGAATTTTGCTGTTTTAAGCTTTCTTTCTTCAGCCCAAATACTGAGTTCCTCCAAAATTGAATGCAATTATTGCTTATTTTTTTAAAGGAAATTCCAAAACCAATGTTGATTTCTTAAAATTAAGACTGAAGATTTAAGGAACCACAACTGATTCATATTCCAATAATGTTAACTGTCCAAATACTTCTAAAAAAAAATACTTCTAAAGATTTTATCACTGAGCTATCTCTGTGCCTTGAACAAGTGCCTAATGGGCATACTATTAATATCTCCTACCAGCTGGTGCCAGGCATTCTTCTCATGGTGAACCAGAGGGTTATTTTGAGGAAGTGCTTCTCAGGTCATCTAAACTGAGCAAAGGGAAAGTAAGTCCTGATACGCAAAGAGGACATTTATGCATTCCTTTGCCCATTCATTCCACAACTTTTATTGAGTGCCTACTGTATGCACAAAATTGATCAGTGGCACAGAAGATTCCTGTTTAGGGTCTGATGCATTTCTGAAGTTTGCAGAGTCCGTATTTGATTTCTTAATGGATATTTGCAAAGAAGTCAGTAGATTTGTGCTCTCTTCAAGTTTAATTTAAGGTAAAAGCAATATAACCTTTGAGAGAATCTATATTCAATTTTCACATTTGAGATTAAAGCAGTGGAAACCTAAGCTGTATTATAGAACAGCTTAGTTAGAACAGTAAATGACATATTTGCATAATAAAGTCTTCATTATACCTCAGTCTTTACCAAAAATATATTAAAATTTCAAAGGAACTTATTTCCTAACTACTACACAATATTCTGTTCATACTAAATTTGACTTAAAATCTCATATATTCAAAAACCAGATTTAGTTATTTTAATAACACTTAATAGGGGGGATTACTGATTATAAAAATAATGCAGGTTTATTTTAGAAAATTAGGAAAATTCCTGGTAATTTTACCATTCAAAGACACTATTCAAAAATGTATACAGATATATGTTTTTCTTACATATTTAGGATATTATTGTATATAATTTAGAATTTTTTATTTTATAATTCTACCCTAAACATTTTCTTATGTAATTTAATATTCTTTAAAAATGTAAATTTTATTGGTTGTGCAAAACTTTAATTTTTAGGCCCTCTGTTTTTGAGTGCCATTTTGCTGCTAATAAAGTGGATAGACACTGAAATTTTTCACTAGTTGCCTATTGCTCCCCAAACTGTATTATGATATTAAAATGAGAAAATGAATCCACAGGTCCAAGTGTCTGGCATAGAGTTCAATAAATGTATGTTTGTTATGCCAATTAATGTTTCTCAAATTAAATTGCCTAGTTGATTTTAGAGCAAAAGCCAGTGTTCAAAAAACTGAGTAGGCACAATTTGAGTTTTTATTTGTAACAATTGCGTTTTAAAACTTTAATGAGACCTCTTGAAATAATTAGTAGAGACACACCCTGTTTATGAAACTAGTTTTGAGATTCATTTTCTTTGATACCAGTCAGTTTCTTAAGACATAGTATAATGCCAGTCTCCTATAAAGAAGTAGAAAAATTAACTTTTCAAAATTAGTTTGAAAAATAACTCCCAAAAATGCCTGTAAAATACATTATAATTAGTAAATAAGGTGACTCACATTTTAAAGTTTCAATAGAGATAGGGACAATAACTAAATATTGTGTTAAACTTTTTCTGACCAACATTGTGGAAAGTTAAAAGGGCTTATACAATTCAAGTAGATTAAAAGAAAATGGGCCTTTCTTGACTTGACTAAACTTGAGAATCTGAAGTAATGTTTTTGTTTCGGTCATGATTAGTTTGAAAATAGCAAACAAGATTTTCTGGTTACATGTTTTGGTTATGCTCTTTAACCTGGGCAACACCCAGGCTCTAACGTGGTCTTAGTGTGTGCTTCTCTGTTTGTTTTGGCAGCTCTGCCTAAAGAGATGTCTCTTTCAAATTGCAAGATTTACCGCATACTATAGACCTTTTATTTGGGTTTCTGTCTAGTTTTATAAAGTACTTTAAGTTGAAATTTTCACAGTTGATTGAGCTTCATTACAAAGGAAAAAATAAAACAGAGGAAACTTTTTATTTCCTCTAGCAAACTTTTGTGTGTAACAAAAATTTGTTTTCCTTTCCTGTGTTCTCATATGTATGAGTTCTCCCTTTTTTTTTTCTTTTTTAATCCTCACTTGAGGATATATTTTTATTGATTTTAAAGGAAGAGAAATACCGATGTGGGAGAGAAACATCAATTGGTTGCTTCATATATGCCCCTTGACTGAGGGCTGAATCCGCAACCTTTTTTTTGTGTGTACAGAATGGAGCTCCAACCAACTGAGCCACACAGCCAGGACTGGGTTCTTATTTTTGTCCTTAGGGGAAGCTGTGCTTATTTCATATGAGTTGGTTTTAGGATGGGTCCTTTAATAGGTTAATGCTAGTCTGTTTATGACCAACTTGAAAGTTCAAACCAATGGAAGAAACTACAGAAAGACTTGCATAACATGCCAACAGCAGGCAGTACAAGGACTGACATGAAGCATTCTGAAGCTGGAATCATTCTGGCAAAGGTGCCCTTTTTAAAAACCATTTATTCATGCTGTGCTTATAGAGACAGAACTCTGGCCTGCTAGAACTGAAAAAGGTTTAAAAAGCCAACTGTTATTTCAGACCAAGTAACTAATTAGCAAGTATCTAAATAAGTACACTTATTTATTTGAAGTTTTGATAATACTAAGAGAACCATGGAGGGACTGGGGACAGAGCCATCAGTCCTCCATTGTGCTTTGACATCTTAGATACAAACAGAGGTCTGCCATGTTCACACTGGCTGGGCTAATTATTGTGAAATTGTATGTAATTGGATGAACTGACCATCATTGACCGATCCAAGGGAGTAGCTTTTATTTGGAGTCAAGAAGTGGTAAGAGAGCAAAAAGATAACTCTTAGCCGAATCATTTTACCAGATGACTGGTGAAATTTTGGTTTAACATTTAAGTACAAAACCATACTCTGTTGTGTTAGTTTCACTTAATGTGAATCGTAATCCTTACAAGTAAAAATCACATGGCAATTAATATAATTACAA